TGTATATATGGATGTAATGACAAATCCTGGGCTTTACATTGTAACAGTTCCAGATTTCGTCACAACAACATCTTGTCCTCCATCTCAGGTCCAGTTTCCTCCAGAGTCGGAGTGTACCTGGATCATGAAGCAGGTACTCTGTCCTTCTACAGCATCTCTGAATCCATGACTCTGATCCACAGAGTCCAGACCAGATTCAGTCAGCCGCTTCATGCTGGAGTTTCTGTTGGAGGTTCTGCTGAGTTCTGTAAACTAAAATAGATGGAATCCTCCTGTAAAGGTTTAGTGAATTTTTTAATGGGTTTTCTTGATTACTATTTTATGTCTAATCTGCTCAGACAATAGTCAGAGATTGTCAGCACTTGTGTGACTTTATGATCTTGTTTGAACACATTTTGCTTCATGTTGCTTCGCTGTTTATGTATAGTGGGACACATCTCATTAAAGTTTGAAACGTTCTTCTGAGATGCATCAACAAAACCTAAATTAACTTTGAGAAAATAATAAAATGGAGACAAAAATTTTCACAGAGGAGCGTTAGTAAATATTCAACAAACTTCCTTGTAAATGAGGACACAAAGGCTACATTTATAGTTTTGCTCCTTGTTCTTCAGGCTGGAAATATTTTATAACCCAATCTCTTCTTCCTGCTCTTAAACAAACCTTGAAGCTGTGAGAAACCAACGGCTGCTGAAGGTGGAAGCTGATTGGCTGCAGCCTCTGCACTGAGATATGAGTCATTTATCAGAGCTCAACCCTGTTTATGTTTTCAGGAAATGAAACTTAAACAGTCACTGTGTCTGACAGGAGAAGTGGAGCAGAATTAGTTTGATTTGTCTGAAGCGCTGGTGACTATTCATTGTGGACACAGTTACTGAACTGCATTAAAACCCACTGGGATCAACAAATTCAGGAAGTTTAGTCTGCCGTCGACAACAGTCCTTAGTTCAGAAAAAAAACTTCTGTGTCGAGGTCTTACCTGGAGAGGAACACCATGTTGGGAGCATTATTAGAGCAGCTGATGAAGATTGGACTCCTGGATGCTACTGCTGATCACTGCTATGCTGGACCTGAAGATGTGGCCTGTGATTTCTGCACTGGAAGAAAACTGAAAGCCA